CTGAGAAACACTGGATGGGAGAAATGCTTAAGGAGTTGGTTGAGGAAACTAAACTGATAGATTCTAAATTGGTGGATTCTAGAGAAGCCACTCAGGCCCCTATCTGCAATTGAATAAAGTGTGGAAGAGAAACCACTCATGTAAATAGCTAGGAAAAGGAAGGAAACCAATCAAGAATTGATAGGGTGCAGAATACAATTCAAGGCACAATTCACCACTGTCAATTTTCTGTTTTATGCCTTTTGCCACTGAAGTGAATAATAAGGGTGCGTTTAAATTGTGGGTTTCAAGGAGAATAGATGAACTCTGTGATTCTGGAAGAAACAGCAGTTGTTATAATGCCAGACAAAACATCCATCCTGCTAAAAGCCCATAATTTGGAGATATTCTTTGCTGTAGTTTTTGGGACAAATGCTTCCTAGTTTTACAGGCAAGAACATATGAGATGGTTTAAACACAGTATCTTTTTCCAGTTTGGCAATTTTAAGGTTTTGGACTTCCAACTAGATTCTTTCAAAAAGAACTCGCAGTTCCATTCAGCCTGTAAGATGGAGTCCACTCATTTCAGAAGTCCAGTTGTATCTCTCTGTTGCAAAATAGTTTTCCAGACCTTAAGTCCTTGCCTTATAGAACATAGAATCATAAGAATAGAAGGGTCTTAAGTCTTCTTGCTCAACCAGGAGACCCTACACTACTTCGGTCAAATGATTGTCCAGTCTATTTTTGAAAACCTCCAGTGATGGAGCATCCCCAACTTCAGGAGGCAAGCTATTCCACTGATCAATTGGTCTAACTATCAAGAAATTTCTCCTTAATTCTGGTTGGATCTCTCCTTGATTAGTTTCCATCCATTGTTTCTTGTCCTACCCTCACGTGCCTTAGGTCAACCCTCTCTTCTCTGTGACTGCCCCTCAAAGATTGGAAGACTGCCATCTTAGAAGAAGGTCAGGAAGGATGGAAGGAACTTCTGGCTAATTCAGAAACAGAAATAAAACAGGCTTGGAGGCCAATCAGGCACCAAACACGCCCAAGACCTCCTTCTTTGCAACCTCCCCAGACTGAGACAAGTCTAGATGATATAAGAGGTCTTCAATTTCCAGAACCCACGTAGAAAAGGTTGAGGATTGATGTAACTGGGACCTAACTTCAGGAAGGCATCCTAAATCCAAATCCCTGCTTTCAGGGACGAGAGCGAGAGCTGAAATTTGAAGCATGCTGGGCAGAAAACAACGCCTTGTTTCAGTCCAGCTAACTTAGAAAGCCAGGCTGTTAATATTGGGATATGGCCAGGCTAATGTAAAGGTCTCGTCCTTTAGATTAGCCAAGCCTTTTTAGCTTTTGCAAAGCGAAATCTGAAGAGAGTTCTGTCAATTGACCTCGGGTGATCCTGAACCAGCTTCTCAGCTCCCTGCCACGAAGTCCAAATTCAAGTCCCTGGTTCTAAAGGAAATAAATGAAATAATTTTAGCATGCTGAATCAGTTCAGCCGCTTCCAGTTAATGCCGCTTCAATATGAAACCCCCGTAACGTTCCTAATGTTCAGCTCCACCGAGGAAAAGAAAAATGAGTCAAAAAGATGTGATATGACTAACAGGGGCTTTCTGCTTTGAACAAAAACCTCCTAGCTTCCAGAAAGTAGAACATATCCTAGAGAACATTACAGCTCTTTATCCCTCTTCCTTCAAAGCTTTATTGTAGCTTTATTTTAAGCTTTTGTGTGTGTGTGTGTTTTTTTTTTCCAAATTTTATTTTAGGCACATTGACCAAAAGGGGGGGAAAGTAGAATGTTTCCAAACAGCCAACCATAAATGTTTTATTGGGATGGGAAAATGGCTTTGTGGCACTGGGTGGAGTTTTGAGATGGCCCTAAGTGGGGTGGGGGTGGAATACTGTTTTAATAAGACAGAGAAAGGTTTGTGTTAGTTATAACTGCATGTTCTCATCAAGCAGAATGCTGATCCTTGTGAGGTTTGGGGCAAGACCGTTAATCTGGAAGCTAAGCCAGCTTTCTCCAGCCAGATGTTGGCCAAGGGTTATGGGAGTTGTAGTCCAACACTGTATAGGATGAGGGTGGAGCGGGGAGGGAGAAACTAAAGCTAGACCTACTGTTCCAAAGGTGCTTTTCAAAAATTGGACTTTCTTGGAGTTTTTTTTTTTAATGTTTTGCTTCTCATCCAGGAAGCTTGGATGAGTTCTGAAAAAATTTTGAAGAAACTTCTTGGATGAGAAGCAAAACGTTTTTCAAAAGAATAAAAACAAGAAAACCCAGCTGTCTTTTGAAAAACACCTTTGGGACAACCTTGGCCTGGATGACTGAGAGTCTCCATAGACAGTTAGACCTACTGTATATCGCTTTTCAATCGAGGTTGTAAGTCGAGGATTGCCTAAACTTGATATCCATCCATGGAAAAGGTATCTGGATAGCATCACAATTGAATGAACAAATTCCCCCATTTTTTATAAAAGCTGCACCAATCCTGGCATTGGTGAAATTAGCTATGAATTGGTTTGTGCGAGAAGAAGAGGAGGAGGAATGGGTTGCATCGGAAAGTAAGACACTGTTGTAATAATCCCATCCCATTTCAGGGAATCCTCTTTGGGAATATCAAATGACAGAAAGTATTGAATTTATGTTTTGTTTTTTTCCCAAAAGGGTGGGGGTGTAATCAAAGCAACCAATCTGAGATCTCTAGAAAGCTGTTCTTGTATCCTATTTCTGGAGCCCTTCCAGTAAAAGATTAGTAGGAAGCAGATTCTATTTGTGGAGAAATCCTGAGAGAATCAATCAATCAGAATGGAGCTGGAAGGGACCTTGGAGATCTTCTAATCCAGGGGGTCGCCAACCTTTTGGACCTCAGGGACCACCAAACTCATAATTTTAAATCCCGTGGACCACTAATATGGCTTTTGACTGATGGTGGCTGCAGGAAAAAAGTCTGCAGGAAAATTCCCCACCCAGTTTTCCTACCGATCGATCATTCTTTATTTGGGATCGCAGGATACTGTCTCCAGCTCCGTTGTTAGGCGGGGGGGGGGGGAGAGACTTTTGGCTTCATGCAAGGAAAACAGCAGAAGCAGCAGAAGTCTTTCTTTCTCTTCCCCAAACTCCACCAGAAATGAGTCTTTGACAGCACCGCCTTTTGGAGCAGGATGCCTTGCAGGGTCCCAAAGACTCATTTCTGGCAGAGTTTGGGGGAGAGAAAGAAAGACTTTTGCTGCTTTCCTTGCATGCAGCTAAAAGCAGAAAAAGAAAGAAGCGGAAAGAAGCAGCCCAGTGGCCAGGAAAAGCGCGTGGGCTGAGTGGGGCAAGTTTCCCCCCCTCCACCCTTTCCCCCCTCCCCTCACTACCTTGTGTTGTTCACAATGCGACACAAGCCTTGTGTTCCCACGGGCCATGTGGGTGGAGCAGCCTTGTGTTCCCACACAGCCTGAATTAATTGCTTTGGGGGGTGCTTTGGGGGTGACATTTCTCTGCGGACCACCAAAATTTTCTCATGGACCACCAGTGGTCCCTGGCCCACTGGTTGGTGACCACTGTTGTAATCCAATCCCCTGCTTAAGCAAGAGACCTTATTCCATTCCAGGCAAGTAGCAGAAAAGTCCAGCCTTTTCTTTAAAAACCTCCAGAGATGAAGCACCCACAACTTCTGAAGGCAAGCTGTTCCACTGGTTCATTGTTCTCAAGCTGTTCTCTAATTGTTAGGAAGTTTATCCTTAATTCCAAGTTGCTTCTCACCTTGATTCGTTTCCATCCATTGTTTCTTGCCTTGCATTCTGGTGCTTTGGAAAATAAGTTGATCTCTTCTTCTTTGTGGCAGCCCTTCAAATACTGCAGTACTGCTATCAGGTGTCACCCCCGTAGAGCCTAGTCCTTCTTTTCTCTAGATTAGCAATACTCAATTCCTGGAAGAAGAAGGATTATTTGGTCAAAGCAATACGGGCAAGCTAACTAGCATCAATTAACGTTGTAATGAACTGTACAGCCTTGAGAATATTATATCTTTGAATAGAGCTGGGCAACCTAAAAGGCAATAACATTCCTTGCACCTCCCACTTATTTTAGCCTTTTGAATCTGAAGACAGAAAGGTCTTTGTAAGTGGCTCAGAGGAACAGTTTTCCCAGAATTCCCTTTTTTAAAAAAAGCAGCTCATTTCAGGAAGGGATTACATGACTTCAACCGCAAGAGCTCTGTGCACAAAACACCAAGGCATTGTTTAAGTGAGGTTTACGAGCCTTTCACTGAATAAAGAGGTCTGGGTATTGCTGAATGCATATCTGTTGAGGCACTGGGCTCCCAGCTGTTAACAAGCCATTTCGCTTTTTAGTAGAAACATATGTAATGTCTTCTCCTATTATGTTATGGCTGCCATATGCTGCTTCAGATCAAGAAGGTCCACCAACTGGATCATCCACGATCGGTTTCATTAATATGATTTTTCCTTTACGTCTATGGAGATTCTTGGTCGTCCAGGTCATGGCTGTCCCAAAAATGCTTTTTCCAAAGGCAACCGGACTTTCTTTTTTATTTTATTTTTTCCTTGAAGATATTTTGCTTCTCATCCAAGAAGCTTCTTCAGTTCAGAGTATTTCTCATTCTGTAACATACTCTTTGAATAACTCCAGAACACAAACTATATGAGCTCTTAAGCTAGCAGCTGGTTAGGTTATCTGACTCAAAATCTCTTTTCCAGAGCTTTGGGTCAACATTTAAGTATTGTGTTTTGTTTTTGTTGTATTATTTTAAAAAAAGTATTTTGTTCAATTTTTTTTAAAAAAAGATTAAGAATCTGCATCTACAAATCCTAGGCACAGTATTTGTTTACCTGTGTCCTTCCTTCCTTCTTCCCTTCTTCCCTCCCTCCCCCTCTCTTTCTTTCTTCTTCTCTTCCTCTGTCTCTCTCTCTTCCTCTCTCTCTCCCCCCCTCTCTCTTTCTCACTCTCTTCCTCTCTTCCTTTCTCCCGCCCTCTCTCCCTCTCTTTCTCTCCTCTCTTCTTTTAGCATGGGCATGAGTCATGATGACGATCACTTGTCCTGCGCTGGGAGATCTCACATCATGTCTGGAGAATGGGTGAAGGGCAGAAATCCCAGTGACCTATCCTGGTCTCCCTGCAGCCGAGATGACCTTGAAAAGTTTCTAAAGTAAGAATATTTGCTAACTGCAAAGCATTTGAATCGTAGTCAGTAGTCTTTTATCTTCTTGGTTGAAATAAGGAACAATTCTCAGTGATGGGTATTGAAGGTAAACTGGATCTGCTTTTGCATCCCGGCCTTCAGAAAAAAAAAAAAATTATTGGCAGGAGAACAGAAGCTTTTATTTTCACCCAATGTCAGCGTCTTGACAACTTCTTGAAAAGTATCCTGGAGCTGTTGTCATTTTTACTTCAAATTCTGCCCATATTTTGTGACAGGAAATATGTCAGGGCGCTTCTGAATGGCTCTTTCAGTTGGGAATAAGTATCTGCTTCTATGTTTCAGCAAGTGTTGGCAAAAATAACCGAAACCTGAGATTCTCCGGTGATCCCTCTCAATCTCTGAGCCAAACTGAGCTCAGTGAAGGATCTACCTCCCCTCTGTACCGTCAAGTAAAACTTATCTTGCACTGTCATGTCGCAGCATCCAGTATTTCCGCGCCTTGTACCATTGCCAACCCATTAGAATGAAGAAATGGAGAGCGTGATTTTGCTTCTTGATGTGGTAGATGGAGAAGGTGTGATTAGACGGCATGTTCCAAGGATGTGCAGGAGAGGGAGAAGATTGAGAGGCAGTGACACCCTTGCCATCATTTTCAATTCAATTCCTAAAGTCACTGCCTGTTTCTATCCAGCCTTTAGAGCTGATGTGGTATTTGTTCACCAGACTCCGTTGATAAGCAAAAGAGCAAATATCCTCCGTTGTAATCTGAGGTTATCATCAAGCAGGAATTTAATTTCACGGGTACCTCTTAAAATTGCAGTCAGTATCCCTGGTATTTTCCACAGAGGTCTTTGTTGTTTTGAAATGCCCTGGTGTTTATTGATGTACTAGTGCTTTTAACTATAAGGAAGGCTGAGCACCAAAGAATCGAGGCCTTTGAACTCTGGTGCTGGAGAAGACTTCTGCGACTCCCTTGGACTGCAAGGTGATCCAACTGGTCAGTCCTAGAGGAGATCAACCCTGACTGCTCTTGAGAAGGCCAGATCCTGAAGATGAAACTCAAAGACTATGGCTGCCTCATGAGAAGGAAGGACTCGCTGGAGAAGAGCCTAACGCTGGGAAAGATTGAGGGCAATAGAAGAAGAAGGGGAAGGCAGAGAATGAGGTGGCTGGATGGAGTCACTGAAGCAGTCGGCGTGAGCTTAAATGGACTCCAGAAGATGGTAGAGGACAGGAAGGCCTGGAAGAACATTGTCCATGGGTCAGACATGACTTCACAACTAACAACAACAACAAAGTGCTTTTAATCATAATCTTCTTTTAATGACCCCGTAATCCCTTGCAGGGTGGAGTCTGGGCAACTGAATGGAGCTGAATGTTTACTGGCCGGATGCCCTTCCTGTCTCCAATGTGGAGTTTTTTTCAGCAGATATATTCTCATTGTGCCCAGAGAGAGAAATATCTGTCTCTACCTAGGATCGAACTCACAGCCTCCTGATTGTGAGGCAAGAGCTCCCCCTCAAAGCCATCGCAGCACTCATGTACTAGTGCTTTTAATGTTGGCTGTAAAATTTACTGTATAATGTAAACCACATTTAGCATTCTTGGTAGCAGTGGTGGTATTCAAAATTTTTTTTACTACCAGTTCTGTGGGTGTGGCTTGGTGGGCATGGCATGGCTTGGTGGGTGTGCTGTGGCTTGGTGGGCGTGGCTTGGTGGGCGTGACAGGGAAAGGATACTGTTAAAATCCCCACCCCACTAACCTGCTTTCCAGCTCCATTCTCCTGTGCAAGCCAACAAAAGAAGACCCAGCCAATCGGCTGGGACTTGGGAGCCAGCAAATAGATGGAGGCAGGGCCAAGGAGAGGTGATATATGCCAGTTCTCCGAACTACTCAAAATTTCCGCTACCAGTTCTCCAGAACCTGTCAGAACTGGCTGAATACCACCTCTGCTTGGTAGATCCAAATGTTATTTTCTGAATGTGAAGAAGCTTAATAAATAATATAATTTACTAGCAGATTGTATGTTGCAACAGAGATGGCCAAGCATAATCTACATGTCTTTTGATTCTCTAGGTCTAAAGTCAGCAATTGTTTGCTGGTAACAGACCCACGTAGCCGCTATGCTGTCCGCCTGCCTTATAAACTCCCAGGGATGCATTATAGCGCAGATGAGCAATGCCAGATCCTCTTTGGAACCAACACAACTTTCTGTAAGAATATGGAGGTAATATGGATCATGAAAGAGCAGATAACAAACTTTTGGTAAAATGGTAGCCTTATGTGGGATCATAGAACAGAGATTTCTTGCTGGGGCAATCTTTAAAAAAAAAAGTGGTAGGAAACATCTCTTTTTGCTTTTGAGAGAGTATTTTTTTTTGCAACATATAAAAACTAAAAATATGGAACATTAAACATTGTGATATTATTATTATATTGTGATATTAAACATTGTTTAATGTCACACTTCCCTTGTTTTAAAAAACTGATGTGTAATATGTCAGAACGTAATGCACCAAAATATATTAATTGCTTAACCTGCAGAGGGTGAATTGCTAAATCAGTGATCCCCAACCTTTTTTACGCCGCGGCCCGGTATCCCCAACCTTTTTTATGGCGCGGCCCGGTACCGGCATTAGCTGGGCGCCGTCATCTTTTTTTGATGAAAAAGTGCTTCCGGTGACCTCACCGGAAGCACTTTTTCATCAAAAAAAGATGGCGGCGCCCAGCAAGCCAGCGGCCCGGTAGGACTTGTTTCACGGACCGGTCCCGGTCCGCGGACCGGTGGTTGGGGACCCCTGTGCTAAATGACTGAAGCTTCATTATGGATCTTTACTGCTGCCAGTGTCAGCACTCCAGCAACCCTCTTTCCAGCCAATAACTCCAAGACAGACATCTTCTCAAAGATTCTTTTATTAAGATAGTAACTGGCACATTTGTGGAATCCCGAATCTGAAAGTTTTCGGGCTTCTTTGCAATATTCAAAACTACAAATCCACCCCTTCCCCCCTTGGCCGTCATCGCATCACATGCCCCAATCACGACCCATTCTAAAGTAAGGTTCTTATTTCATTCTGCACCATATTCAATGACCTTGGACTAGCAAAAGAATTTTATTTTGTCTACTTAGAGATACTCAATTTGAAATCCCCCCCCCCACACTTTCTCAGGCTTGTGGCAGCGTGAGAGCATCGAATCTCAACATGGCTTCAAAAGCTGACAGGCAGTGGACTCATAAATAATCAAAAAGACTCAAAATGGAGCCTGCCCACCTGTCCCCCAAACCATCCCCAGGTTACCAAAGTGACTTTATGGCTGTATTCACCACCCGCCATTCCGTTCCTGCAAGATTTGGAAAAAGTTGTGTACTCTTGGTTTAGCCCAGCCCTTTGTTTCAATAGTTCCTCCATCTTCCTTATCATAAAAAAGAAATTCAGCTACCTAAAATCTGATACGAAAATCAGCTGTACTTTTTCTACTTTTCCCTATTGCATAAAAAGATGTGCCAAAGTAATAAAATAAAGCTTGGATTGTGTGCTTGAGTTTCAAATCCTAACCGTTCTACTTTATTTATGTTGATCCTGGCAAGCTCCTTGAGAAACATGAAAAAAGGGAAGGTTTGTTTTCTTCGGAAAGTAAGAAAGTTAACTCGTGTTTCTCAGAGGACTACCAAACCTGTTACTAGTGACAGAATCTCTGAAAGTATGTCTTGAAAGATTATCCTGGGACAAGGGACTAAAATAAAGAACTTTTCCAATGATTTTTCTAGGGAGAAACAACTTTGTCTTCCTCCGTTGATGCTCCTAATTATTTGTTTTATTTTTTAGTTCTCCATGTTGGATTTTCTTATTCAAGGAATTCTTGAACATGACTTTTTTGTGTGTGAAACATTTGTAAAACACCAAAGTCCAGAAGCATAGTTGGTTTCAGTAGCTGGGCATACAGGTTTTTCTTGGTTTTCCCCTAACCTTTGCAGTATCAAAGATAAGGTGAGATAAGATGGATAGGATAAGATAGGGTAGGGTAGGGTAAGAAAAGGCAAGCTAACTTTTATTGTCACCTTTCTGTGTGCACAATGGCCCACAGAATAAAATTCAGGTGGTATTTACTTTTTTAAAAAATAAATAATTTTTAAAAATCGTTTATTAAATTTGTCTGCCGTCCATCTCACCATAAAGTGCAGAGTAAACAGAAAATACTTGCTTTGTAGCTATTTCATGAATTGTCCCTTACATTGGGATCAGAGGTGATATTCAGCAGGTTCTGACCAGTTCTGGAGAACCGGTAGCGGAAATTTTGAGTAGTTCGGAGAACCAGTAGTGGAAATTTTGAGTAGTTTGGAATACCACCTCTGACTGGCCCCAGCCCCATCTGTTCTCTGCCTCCCGAGTCCCAGCTGATTGGCTGGGTCTTCTTTTGTTGCCCTGCATAGGAAGATGGAGCTGGAAAGCAGGTTAGAGGGGTGGGGAGGGAATGGGGATTTTGCAGTAACTTTCTCCTGGAGTGGGGTGGGAATGGAGATTTTGCAGTATCCTTCCCCTGCCACGCCCACCAAGCCACACCACGCCCACCAAGCCACATCCACAGAACCGGTAGTAAAAATTTTTGAATCCCATTACTGGTTGGGATGAAATGTATGCACAAATGCAAGCCAATATTCATTTTATTGCAAATTAGAATTTTGAAATAAAAATCATTGCAACTAATAATCTGAGAGTCAGACTCTCTATTGCATTTTATCCAGCAGTTTCTTCAAAGTTATATTAACCACAGTTAACATGAATGCAATTTAAACTCTTTCTCTCCCCTTCTTTCATCCTTCCGTAGAGGAATACTTTGATTTCTGAATGTGAGGTTAGGCTTGGTTTTTTGGTGCATGGTTAGTTATTCCATGTGGATATCTTTTTTTGAAAACGTATTTGTAAAAACTAAAAAACAAATCAGATAACGCTCAATTCAGAGAGGCTTAATGAAGCTTTGTGCCTTTTTCTTTGCAATAGTGGCATCTCCAGGCAAAGTAATTTCAATTTTTTTTCTCTTTTCTGCTGACAGCATTTGATGTGTGCTGGTCTCTGGTGTCTTGTGGAAGGAGATGCCTCTTGTAAAACCAAACTGGATCCTCCTCTGGATGGGACAGAATGTGGGGCTGACAAGGTAAAACTCCTGGAGAAAATCAACTCTACTTTGTAGAATTTGGTATTCAACACATTTTGATGCAAACATTTTGTCCCGATACTCATCATTTGTTTGATACTCAATGCACAATGTCAGTGTTGGCTGCCTTGTGACTCACTATATTATTCCTTATGGGAAAAATTTGTTGGGTACTCAATCATTTTGGGTTCTCATCGTCTCGCCTGGAACCAATTAATAGGTACCACTGTATAATTTTTATAAAAGAAGTTTTTCCACAGACTAAAAACAATGCAACATTTCAGTTGCTGGTGAGGGAAATAGAGTATACAGTAATAGACAAGTGAATTAAAGCTATGAAAGTTAGTAGCTGAGACAACTGAATCAGGTAAGATATTCCAAACATTGACAACTCATAAATGAAAAGTCTTTTTTTTTTTTACAAATGAGTTTAAAGCGGTTTACATTAAACTTAAAAGCTGTTGTGTGCACATGTTACATTACGATTAAAACAAAAAAGTCATTTACAGGTAAAGTGTCACTATGTACAATTTTAGATGTGAAAACTAGCATTGTGGTTCTCAGCTAGCCAAACCAAGATTATTCTCTTTTCATTCCAGTGGTGCCGAATGGGGGAGTGTGTCAGTAAAACCCCCATCCCTGAACACATTGATGGTGATTGGAGCATCTGGAGTCAATGGAGCATGTGCAGCCGGACATGTGAAACTGGGGCCAGATTCAGGCAACGCAAATGTGACAACCCTCCGTAAGTTGACTCATTCCGATGAGAATCTAAACCTTTGAAGCACTTAAGGGAGCATTGAAAGATGTCTTCATAGGAAGCCCAGCCCATCTGCTTCTCTGCTACCTAATTCAGGAGTAACTGACGTGGTGCCTGTTCAGGAAGAAGAAAGGAGGAGATGAGATGGAGGAGGAGGAGGAGGAGGAGGAGGAGGAGGAGTAGAAGGAGAAGAAGGAGAAGGAGAAGGAGAAGGAGAAGAAGAAGAAGAAGAAGAAGAAGAAGAAGAAGAAGAAGAAGAAGAAGAAGAAGAAGAAGAAGAAGAAGAAGAAGAAGAAGAAGAAGAAGAAGAAGAATGGACAATCATGCTGTAAAGCATCCACCATTGCTTTTATTTACAATAAGGCCTTTGGGCTAGAGGTATTTTTAGATTTTTTTTAAAAAAAAAACATGGTAAAGGCTGAAGCCCAGTGCTTTGTTTGGAATTGTATCTCAAGTGATAGGAAGCATTTGAGAGTCTGGACTTAAACAGAGAGCAGTCTTCTTCATTTTTATTCCCGTATGTTTCAGAATGGCAGCTATTTTCTGGATAAGCCAAACCAGACCCATCTCTATCACAGCTATTATTTGAAAGCGGCTTTGCCACTCAGCTAAATCTCTCACTCTCACTTACGCACTTAACAAAGTGTAGGCAAAAAGCAGGCAGAGCTGGGGAGGGGTGGAGTTAAACCTGTCATCAGCTTAGAGTTGTTACATTGCCACAAACAATCCTGTTGAATTCCATGCTCGCTTATCTGGTCCCAATTTAGTATTGAATTTTAGTTGACAAGATTTTTTTTTTTTATTGACAGCCTAGACAGGGTTCTGACAAGAGATATCTCAGCCCACAGAAGGAATGGGAGAGTGGAAAGCATCTAAGAAAGAGACCCTTCCCCCAGTTATCTGAAAAGTACCGGTGGGGAAAGCTGAGAAATGCTTTTAGATTTGCAAGGTTTTGTTACTTTAACCTTACATTACTGGTAGTGTTAGAACTCATGGCTTCCTGCCTGGACTATCTTGAAGGGCTGGCAGCCAACTTTTGAAGAGCATGTTGTAGGCACTTTGCCTACAACATTGTGTTTGTCATTCACAAATATTCCCTCACAAAAAAAAATCAGCATTACTTTTCATAGGACTGGTAAATCTTTTCTGCATTTTAGCAGATGACCTTGGCTGATCTTGAAAAAGCTAAGCAAGGTCAGACTTTATTAGCGCTTGAATGGGAGGCCACTAGTAAATCCCAAAGGTGTAAGTTGGATTGGGATGTTTAAAAAAACATCCTGAAGGAAAGTATGGAAAACCACTTCTGTATCACTGCCATGAATAATTGGCACAGTTCGGTAAGTGTTATTGTGAGCCTCTCTTGAAAAATACTTCTGCTGTTCTATGGTCAGGGTTCAGAAAAATCTCTACCAATCTCTGCTATGATTGTTTTAAAACTTAAGTATTTATAACAACAGTATGCAAAAAAAACCAAACTTGTGGATATGAATGTGACTCAAGGACAGATGAGCAGTGGCTGTAAATCTGCATTAAGCAGAGTCAAGTATTGCCAAATCTCAGTTTCTCTCAGTTTCCATTCATAAATTCTGTTTGGCCCCTTCCTTTACTAAACCAAGTAACTTAAAAGCATTTGCAAGATGTGTTTTACATACTTTGCGCATGACCCATTTTTTGCTTGCCACTTTGGCTATTTGCAGTCCTGGTTTTCGTGAATTAACCTTTTGTTGGTACATACCTTCTGCAATGTAGGTGTGTGTTTTAAATCACTAAACAATATTTCAAATTTCAACACAAGTTTGGAAAGAGCATTGGATTCCGGTTTGTCTATTGCCTCAAAAATGTAAAATAAACTGTAAAATGTACAATAAAGTACATAAATTATGTACAATAAATGTACATAAAAAATGTAAAATAAACTGTAAATGTAAAATAAAGTTTGCATTAGATACGAACCACTTCTTCATTTTCAATCTATGGTAGGTAGGGTGGCCATACTTGAGTGAATTGTGCCCTCTGTTGTTTTAAGTCTTGATTGATTGTCTTTATTGCCTTTTATTTCCCCTGTCCTGGCTGCTATTCTCATTAGTCCATAGGGAGGTTTTCAAAAAAGTATATGAAACCACCAGAAGTCAAATTCATCTTAGAGGAAATCTTTTTTTGTTTTGAATTTGTATTTTCTTTTCAAAACACCCCCAAACATTTTCTTTTCAAAACACCCCCTATTCACAAAGAATCCCATCAATCTTTTGTGGATAATGTGATAGAAACACCAATGCAAGCTGTCCATATTCATGGCTTGGGTCTGGGTTATCTGAGGGAACATCTCTTGCCAGTCACATCTACTCGACCCATTAGAGCAAGGAGGCAGGGGATGTTGCCGGTCCCACCCCTGAGGGAGATACACCTGGTGGGACCCAGAAGAAGGGCCTTCTCTGTGGTGGCTCTGGAATATCATTCCCCCAGAGATTAAAATGGGCCCCACTCTAGCACTCTTTCAAAAGGCACTGAAGACCTGGTTTTGCCAGTGGGCCTGGGGAACCCAGAGAGGGATGGAGCCCATCAAATGGCTACTGTGATCTGCTGTCGTTGAGGTGGGGGGAGGGGGGAGAGTTAATTTTTATTTTTATTTTAATTTTTTCCAAATTTTCTTCTATTGTACTTCACTAATTTATTTGATTCTTTTTGTTAGTTTTTATTGTTTTTTATTTTTGTTATAAATATGATTTTACATTGTGTAAGCCGCCTCGAGTCGCCATGGGCGGATAGGCGGCAATATAAATTAAATAAATAAAAAATACATATTTGTTTACCTTAACAGGCCTGGCCCTGGAGGTAAGAATTGCCAAGGAGCAAGCGTGGAACACACTGTGTGTGAAAACTTGCCATGTCCCAGAGGAGTGTCCACCTTCCGAGACCAACAGTGTCAATCTCAAGACCGCTCGACCAACAAGAAGAAAAGTCTATGGACGGCTGTCATCGTGGATGGTATGTTTCAGCAGATGAAAACACGGCTACATTTTTTATACAGTGATACCTTGGTACTCAACTGCTTCGAAACTCATCGAATTTGGTACTCAATGCATTTTGAGGTGAAAATTTTGTCCTGGTACTCATTGTTTGTTTGGTACTCAATACCTAAGCTAGAACTTGTCGATGTTGGAAGCCTTGTGACTCACTACATTATTCCTTATGGGAAAAATTTGTTTGGGACTCATCATTTTTGGGACTCATCGCATCACCCGGGACCAATTAATGATGTACCACTGCATAATTTTTATTAAAGAAGTTTTCCCACAGACCGAAAACAATGCAATATTTGAGTAAAGGAAATGGAGCAAAGTAGCATAAGGGTGAAAACAGAAATATAGAAAAAGAAGTAGAAAGGAAAGAAAAAAGAAGAAAGAATAATTAAGTGCCTTTTGGTCTGCTTAACAACAACAGTTATAAGTACATTTATACTTGCCCTCTCTGTCTAAGGTTACATCAAAGTTTCCTTCTTTGCATAATCTACCCTTTCTAAGCATCAGATCCATAAATTGTCATTTTGGAGGGTTTTTTTTTCCAGCAAAAAGTCCATAAAGAGAATATTGCTCCTATTTCTTTGCTATCTTTCAGCTTCTGAATTTCTCCGAGGCCTCATAAAGGAAATGTTTCTAAACTATATTTCATGAGAGCCCAATGATCTTTGAGCACTTGTTTTGCAAGAGAATTCTGGGTTTCGAGAAAGCTTATTGTGGGTTTGAGTCCATTCAATATCACAAGCCTTCTTGAGAAATCAAGAAGAGAAATTGACAGAAAGCGATTGAAACCAAAGAAAAAAGTACTAGACCAGGGGTCTCCAACCTTGGCAACTTTAAGCCTGGAGGACTTCAACTCCCAGAATTCCCCAGCCAGCAAAGCTGGCTGGGGAATTCTGGGAGTTGAAGTCC